CAAAATATAAAAAAAACAACGACAACGTATACAGCTCATAATTCTCCACTGTCAAACTGTAAAAAAAAGTAAAAAAAAAATAATAATGACAAGATTCTTTTACCCCCTCGTTCTCCACGCGATATAACTATACATCGTTTCCATTTCGATGGCTCGGTTCAATGGTTCGGTTGCCGGCACCGCTGCTGCTCTTAACCTTCGCTGCAGCGCAGTTCACGACACAATGCGCCGCGGCACGAGCTACGAAGATCGCGGCTAATCTCGGGTTTGCGTCTGTTATATATACACAAGGAATCTCTGGCACAACGCAACCTCGCCCGCGTAAATATATAACTGTGTCTATCTATGCGGGCTAAGAGAATGCAGTGTGCATATTTGCGCAATCGAATGAATCATATCGCTGGGGCGTATAGTGGTAGTAGTATAGTAGCATAGAGTCGAGGAGAAGAAGAGGAGCTCTAGTTAACCTCGTTTCTCTTCCTCGAGCCTTTCTCTCGATCTATATACGAACGCCCGACACACAAACACCATCAGGACGCGCGGCGGAGGAACAACGATGATATATACAGTATAACGATGTGGGATCTCTCGTCGATATGGTATATACCCACACACACACACACACACACACACACATATAATATATATTGCATACGTATATATAGCCGAGACAAAAGAGCCCGAGAGAGGTCTTACGTATGCAGATATATATAATACTTGCGGGCGAGACTGTACTCCTCGGGAAGAGCTTGCAGCAGCAGCAGCACACCAACCGCTTGGCCGAGGAGGAGCGAGCGCTATAGGTCACTATTATATATGTAACACGAAGAAAGCTGCACACTCGCGGCTGTGGCAGCAAGAAGAGGAAGAAGCCAGAAGCAGCGGCAGCGGATGGATGGCGTCTCTCTCTCTCTCTCTCCCCTATATGCACTAGACCGGGAAATTTCTTGCATGCTACCGTCAGGCTTTTCGCTCGGCTCTCTTCTCTCGCTCTCTCCTTCATCTTCCTTCTTCTTTTTGCGAGTGTGTGTCATATATGTACGTAGACATATACCTATATACGACGATCGTTCGGGATTTTCTTTCTTGCCTTTTTGCCTCTTTTTTTTATCGTCGAAAGGTTATTTCGAAGACTCGATGCCGCAGAGAGAGAGAGAGAGAGAGAGAGAGAGAGAGGCAGATGATGATGGAGCGAGGAAGAGGAGGAGAGCTGCTGCTGCTGCATGCGCCGCTGCAGGAACTCGGCTGAAGTGAGCCTAGGCATCTGTCTCTATATAGACCCGTTGGCCCCGCGCACTGGTTAGATCGTATATACGTATATATTCATGTGAATGGAAAGGCAGAAAGTTATATAGACGCTATACATGCAGATATATACGGTTGAAGAGCCGTGTATATACCATATAGTCCGCGTGGTGCTTTCGACAGGATGTAGCCAGCGCGATATTGTGTGTGTGGGCGTGTGTGTGCATGTATATAACCAGTGGCGACTTACTCTGCCTCCTCAGTTCGCTCCTCGTACGTGTGTGCATGTATTATATGCATATACACAGGAAAGGGTCAAAGAACACGTCAACGTATACATACACTCACCAGGAGCGATGGCCGACGAGAGCAATTTCTCCTTCGTTTTTTTTTTTTTTACTTTTTGCTTCTTTTTTATTTTTTCATTCCACCCGCGTATGAATGTAAATTCAGTCTTCGAGTGGGAGAGAGCTGTACACATGGATACGTAACCACGGCATAAAAAAGAGTAAAAAAAGAGAAAAGAGGTTGTCATGAAATATCGCGTCATTCGCGACCGACGACGTATACGCACTTACAAAAGTACGCGCGGAACACACGAGCGCGTATGTATACGAGCTATAGTAAAAATTAACTGCACTGAATCTTTCTCTATATATATATACGTTACTTGTCTCGTACCACGTCTGTTTATTCGCGCAAACGACTCGCTCATTGTCTTGAGACACATAGATATAAATGTGCGTAGGACTCGTAGCAGAGGAAGAGTTACGAGACACATAACAAAGTTTTGCCGTTCGCCCGTTCGCCGTCGGTAACACGGATGGTTCTCTGTGTAGCTGTGTAGAAGGAGGAAAATTCTCGCGACTTCGTGCTGCTGCTGCTGCTGCTGCGGCCCTCCCGCAAAGATCAACGAAGTCATGAGTCTGCTGCTGCAGCGCACACAGCACGCAGCGACGAGGTTATAACGCTAAATGTAAACTGCAACTTTCCTGAATAATATATTCACTGCTCACTGAGCTCTCTTGTAGCCCCGTAGCTTTTACACGACGTCAGTCGGGTATATACATACGTGCGCCAAAGTTGAACGAATATTCGGTTAAATTAATTATGTAATTAAGCAGCGGAGAAAAGTCGCTCATACGTAAACCACCTCCCGCTCCCCTCCTCGAACAAAGTCACTTTCGATAATCGTTGCCAATACAGTGCAAGCTCGTACTTACCTATACATAATGCGCACGTTAATGTTGCACCAATTTGCTCGATCGAAACGAGTGCGCAGCGCGTTTTATACTGGGTAGTGTATACGCGTGCACCCGTTGATTCTTTTATCGAAAATTCATTGGCTGCAACGGGAAACTGTGTAACAACAATATAGGCCGAACCGAACCGAGCGTTATAAAGGCATACATATACAAAGACGTGCGTTGGGCGAATTTTCCATAAACTCCGATCGAGGCGCGGCTTACCTCGCAGGGGAGATTCAAATATTTATCGTTCGATATACGACGATGCGGCTGCTGTTGTATATAGTTCGAGGAAGAAATATTAAGATGTGTAGGTCATTGAACGAGCTGTTGCGCAGGACTACTATATTTTAATTAATTATTTTTATCATTATTTTTATAATAATAATTATTTTTATAATTAATAATGTAACGAATATGTTATTCGTTATACTCTCTCCCGACAATTGTTATTAATTTTAAATAATTATAAATACTACGTCCAATATGTATTTCATTTTTAGCACGACAGATCGTCGACCGACGAGTCGCGGCGCCGTTGGTGTGCGATGAGAGGGGAGAGAGAGATAATTTCGGGGCTCGCGCCTAGGATATATAGGCCCACGAGCTGAGACTGTTACTGGCTTCGCTACCGATTGCGCCACGTCATTAGGCATACGCTTGCCTTGATTTTGTAATTGTTGCCTCGCGAATATAGATTCTCTTTAATAAGTCGAGTCGCTGTGATTTGTGCAACTGCAGGGCAAGGGTGCAAGTACCTTTTGTCACGAGGGTGTCAACCGAGCCATCCGGATAGATAGTTAATGCTAAAACTTTGCCTTTTCTCGTTCAGTTTTTGAGAATTCGGACATACGCCATCTAGCGGTAACTCATAAATTATTACAACCTTCAAAAAGAGTCGAAATACGTGGTACATCACGCTTGCTTTAGTTCTCAATTAAATCAAGTTTTGTTTTTTTCGAGAACAATGCGTTACTTTTTTAATTCCAGAATCGTAATTGTATTTCATAAAATAACAGCTGTATTCTAGTCTTGTCAGAAAAATTCACACAAGTTTTTATAATTTTAAAGTAAAAATCATCGATAAGATATTATATGTCTATCATCATCATAATCATATGATAATATTTGTGGACGTAAATGTGTGAGTGTGATACGAGTATTCAAAGCTTCATGCACGTGTACACGTATGTGTGTGTGTGTGTGTGTTTGCTTGCTTGCGCGCGAACTGTTTACGAGTTCGGAAAAGTTCGTAGATTTCTCGCCCGATGTAATTTTACGTGAATATAAGTTCACGCACTCGAGAGAGCAGCGATGGGGTGGGGGCGCGCGCGAAGGCGAGTTTACGATACTGTACTGCGGGCGCGAATCCCACACACACGCGCGCGCAAAGAGAGAGAAGCACAAAGTTCGAGACACGAGCACGCGAGGATACCGAAGTCTCGTGACGGGGATAAAGTTATCGAAGCCAAGTGAGAGAGAAAAAGAAAAGAGATGAAAAAAATGTTTTCTCGATTCTGACTGTACGCACGTGTGAATATATACGGCTGCAGCAGCGCCTGGCACATAGTTGAATTTGTATAGTCGAGCGTCTCACTTCCTCTGATCATCCGTTTTATATTGCCCTGCGTTCGTTCGTATTGCTATATATACGTACGTGAAGCGGTGGTGCAGCAGCTGCATTGGCAGGATTGCCCGAGACGTGCGCGCGCGCCCCAGAGAGCGGGGTACGGCTATTATACACAGATATAGCGCGAAGGATTTAAGCGTCGTATTTTTCTCGCTCTCGTGTATACCGAGCGCGAGCGATTCGTTCCCCCGCGACGACGACGACGACTACTACCGCTGCTGCTGCACGAGCGAACGCGTTATATGGACCGATCAAACGTAATTTATGAATCGATGAAATTTCGATTCGATCGCTCGGCTTTTATAGGATATATATACGTATCCGACGTGATTGTTTCTGCGCTAATGCGAGGATATCTTCAATTTTACGCCTCGATGATTTTCAACCCTCCTATACTGCGCGTGACATCTTGTTGCAACTACTACTGCTGCTTTTTTTTTTTTTGCTTGACTCATCGAAAAAAACGCAGGCGGGTTACAATTTACGACGAGCCATCGTAAATTTTTCACAACACGATGATGAAGCTTATATGCTCGAAATTGCCCCTTCTTTTTTTTGTCCCAGGCTTTGTGACTTTGATTATCCGCCCTTGTGACTATAAGAATAAACTACCTGCAATTTGACTGTTACTGCGGTGGTGGTATACTACGCGACAAAACCGAATCAAAACAAAGCTCCTATTGTTGGCGCCTTGTTTTTTTTTTCAGCACCACCGTATACAATGAAATAAAAATCTTTTTTTTTCGTTTGCTTTGAACGCGTGTACAAAGAAACAAAATAAAGAACGCCCAAAACTCAGTTGTAAATCGAAGAATTGCCAATTTGACGAACGCTCGACAATTCCGCACCGCAGCATCTCGCAAGCAAACGAGATTATAATGGACGCGTTGGTGGACAAACAGATAAAAAAGGACATGTTCTGGAGTCGATTCTTTCTCCAGTCCGCCTGCTTGTGGCCCTACACCAATCGGATCCTCAAGTACGCGGGCAGAGTACTCCTCATCCCCTCCGCGATATTTATGGAGCTCTGCTTGGTAATTATTTCGCGCACATCAACGATCTCTCCAATTCTTTGATAGCCCAAGTATTACATGATGTGCCGTCACAGCTGTACGGAGGTTACAAAAATTTGCGTCAAGACTCGCTCGATATAGTGTATACGTTTACCAACGTCATCGAGTTACTGATTGGCATCTCGATCATACCTATGTACTTCATTACCATGTCGTATGATCGTGAGGTATACGAATGACGAATCAACGCTTCGAATAATGGTGCTGTTATTATAATATCGTTTCTGCTCAGTTCAAACTGTTACTAGGGGACATGATGCACTTTTACTCGGAAGAGGCGAGCGCCGAGGAACGCAAGATCGTGCAAGACGTCACCCGCGGCACCTACCACCTATCCTGTCTGCTGGCGGCGTTCGTCTGCGTGTTTTGCGCGGCCTACGCCCTGGCACCGCACAGTGGTACCAAACTGAAAAAAAATGATCTAAATTAAAGTGTCAAGGGATTTTAGCACGGAAAAAAAATCCAAAAATAGTGTCAGATTCGGGAGATCATGAGGAATCCAATGCCGTTTCCCTTTTTTAATTAGCTATTTGTTTAAACATTATACAGCTAATTGAAGTCTCTCATTATCAATTTGTTATAACATAAAATTTCCTAATTATTCATTTATTGAATTATCATTGCAATTTTTGTGAGCCGAAAGCTATCTCAGCTCATTGGTTATTTTTACAATCACTAAAATAGTATGAAAATTCAAAATTAATATTTGTTAATAATAATAATTGTTTCGTTAATAAACAAATGAAAAGTTAACGTGCAATATGTTGTTCTCATCACAATTAAGCATTTTAATTGGATTGATGGGAAATAATCATATCATTCTAATTTTTAACGACAATTGTTATAACAAACGATTGTTATAAACAAATTTTAAACAATTGTGAAATTTTGATTTCTTATACTTTTTTACACATATCGAATTTGATTATAGCTTAAATTTTTTTCCAACGAATCATAAACATTCAACAATAATATTTGTTGATAATTTTTTTATTTTGTTGATAAACAAATGGAAAATTAACGTGCAATATGTGGTTTTCGTTACGATTATGCATTGTCACTGTATTTACAGGCAATAAGCATATCAATTTAACATTCGACGATAATTGCTTAAGCAATTGTTATAAACAAATTATTAATAATGGTTAAATATCGATTCTGCATGCATTATTGTGCTAGTGAACACTCATTAGAATTGCATATTAATTAAATATCAAAGGATCACAATATTAGAGTGCATTTTTAATAATAATTTTTATTATTATCATTTATTATAAATTAACAAATTTAAATAAATAAAAAGTTTATTTTGGCCTTAATGAAAGAAATAATAATTTTATTGACTTGAA